CCCACGCACTCTGTACCCCACCCCAGATCACTCTGCACCCCCCCTCACTTTGTAACCCACCCCCACCCTGACTCTGTCCCCACCTCACTCTGTATCGAACCCCAGCCCTAGGAGACATCTCAGAGAGCTCTCAGTTCTGTCAGCCCTCACTTCCCTGAGGAAACATGGACGGTGCTGTGTCCAAATCTCTGGTCTCCAAATGACCTCCCTGAAACTTCCCCACTTCGCTCCCCATCCTCGGAGGGTGCCTCTTCAAAGTGAGGCCTTGGGTCTCCTGGGATGAGACAGGAAGAGCCATCTGATGAGTTGCTGTGGGCTGGAAGTGGGATGGAAGGAAATTGGCCCAGGGTGAGCTGTAGCACTGGTGATTCAGAGAGCCTGGAGTCAGACACTCAGTTCGGCCGCTGACCCTCACCTTGTGTGTTCTCGTTGTTGTTCCAGTTAGCGGGTCCGCAGCACCCCAACCCACCATGCTTCGCTGGGCACTCGTTCTCAAGGAGGGGGAAGGAGGCTTGTCCTTGTATTTTGGGAACAGTTCATCATGTTTGCTGATCAGAACAGTCATCAGCTTCTGAATCTGTGGAGTCCCTGTCTCCATAGAGAGAAAAACACAGAGAGAGGATCTGGTTATTGTCCAACCGAGCTTTAGCACGTAGTCAGCAGCACTTTCCCACCATGCGAGCTCTGACACTGAGAACGACAAGGGGAGGGGGGGGTGAATGCCTGTGCAGCTCCGCCAGCTGCAAAATGCCCTTCAAGCCCCACACTGACCTCAGCTCAAAACTATATCACCCGCTCACCTCCAACCCTCTCCGCACACTCTTCCAATTCTGCCCTCTGCCACAGCCTGCGGTTGGAATCAGTCGAGCATTCTCAGTTGTTGGCCAGGCCTGGGGTAAACAGCCACACTTCTCTGTGCTCCCTCGAAGATGCATTGAGCAAGTTTCCAGTCAGCAGTCCTCACCATCCCCACCCTGGGGCTTCAGCTTTTACTGCAGGGTATTGCTGTTGCCTCCAGCTTCGCCAATTCCACGGTGTCAATGCCGGGCTTCAGCTCACTGTGGATCAGGATTGGGATCTGAAATCTGGCTGCTGCGTCTTCCCACCAGTTCCCCGGACACCTCCTGTCCCCCGCCACCCCCCACGCAGCGCCCCCACCCCGCCGCCCCAACCCCCCATCCCATTTCTGACTGACGTCGCTCCACTTTTGAATGGAACATTTGCAAGCCCCATGTTTCTACCAAATATGTGCAAGCAACATGAACATTGCGAAGAAGGAACACTCCAGGCCCACTTTTCTACACCAGCCTAAAGTCCCAATGCTCCAGGCAAGAACGGCAAGTTAGCCACACCTCATCAGTTAATGTACATGCACATAATCCAGAACATGTCGCATGTGCTGCCCTATTCCTGTCAGCTGTCTTGTGAAGCCACACAATTGGAGGGTTTCTTTTCCTTTACTCGGTGTAACTTGGTCAACACATGAGGGCAGAACAGGTAATCTCTTCCAGGGATAGCTTCAGTGTTTCTCATTCTGTCAAAGGGCGTGGGCATCACTGACTGGGCCAGAGCGGTGGGTGTGTGGAATGCGCTGCCGGCAGTGGTAGTGGAGTCAGATACTTTAGAGACTTTTAAGCGACTCTTGGATTGGCACATGGATAATAGTATAATGTAGGGTATGCATCTTAGGGTAGGGTTTGATCTTAGTAGGATAATAGGTCGGCACAACATTGTAGGCCGAAGGGCCTGCACTGTGCTGTACTGTTCTACGTTCTAATTTGTTGACTGTTCCCCAGTTGCCCGTTGAGAAGGTGGGGGGGAGCTGCTTTCTCGAACCACTGTGGTCTATGTGCTGTAGGTCGACCCACAATGGGAGGGAATTCCAGGATTTTGACCCAGTGACAGTGAAGGAACGGCGATATATTTCCAAGTCAGGATGGTGAGTGGCTTGGAGGGGAACTTGATGGTGGTGGTGTTCCCATGTATCTGCTGTCCTTGTCCTTCTAGATGGAAGTGGTCGTGGGTTTGGAAGGTGCTGTCTGAGGATCTTTGGTGAATTTCTGCAGTGCATCTTGTAGATGGTACACACTGCTACTACTGAGTGTTATTTGTGGAGGGAGTGGATGCTTGTGGATTCTGGTGCTAATTAAGCAGATGACGGTGAGCGTCCTGTTGAAGCTGAAACCTTCCAGGCCCAGTGGACAGTATTTGATAAATGCTCCTGGGTTGGGACCTTGTTGATGGCGAGAGCCTTCGGGGAGTTATTGGCCTAGCCTCAGGCTCCGAGCCTCTGACCTGCCGTCACAGTGATGCCGAGTTGGCACTTTGATGTGTCAGTCTCTCTCCGCAATGATGTATCCCACCCTGAAGAAGCAGACGCAGCTGCCCACTGTAGCATCTCGTGTTGGTCTCCAGGCCCTGTCCCAAGAACCACACAAACCAGAGATGTGACAGGCGAGCGAGGATTTGGACTGGCCTCTGGTCACCCGCCAGACCTGGACTTGCCTCTCATGATGGCCACGGGATCTTCGAGTTTGGGTCTGAGGAGATTCACCCCGATGACAGTTGCCAGATTGTCCACGCTCATTTTATTGATCTTGGAGCTGAGCTGGACCTCGTATAGAAACCTGGCCGGGGAACAAAACAAAATAAATAAACATTCACTCTGCGAGCCTCAGGAACCAATCGCCCCCAAAATGGTTTTTGCGGAGAACAGTGTCAGGGCTGAATGTGAGACAACAGCACAGATGCCACTGCACCCCTCCATTCCATGCTAGCTCTTTCCCCAGATCTGATTTTTTTTTAAACACCTTCAGCCTTTATCCCATTTCCTTTTTGAAAGTTCCAGCTGAATCAATGTTCTCCCCCAGTGTTTGAAACATTACAACCAGCGTATCCACTCTCTCTGCAGCTATCGCTTTTAGGATCCCTGCCAGGGGGACCAGGGGGTCTTGTCTGCCTTTAGCTCCACTTCTCTCGCGATGGTGATGGTACATAATTCCTCCCCTCTGCGCTCACGGGAACCCTAACCATTCCCTAGGGAGTTACCCAGCAAGTGTTCCATGTTGGGGAACCACCTGAGATACTGTTCCAAGGTTCAGCCTCAGATGAACTGATTACTGCCAGTGGATGCACAACACATCCTCCTCCAGTTTCAGACTGTTTTGAATGAGTAGGATCAACACTGCTTGGTGCAGAAATCCATCAGGTTTCTGGCCTGTGATAGGGAAACACTATTATTTGGTCCATTCAGACAGTGTCAAGTCTTGAAATCCTGAACCGTTAACTTCCACCTCTTCACGTCAGACATCCCTTTATTCCCAACTTGATGTTCCTGCTTCCAATCCTACTCCATCCACTCCCATTCCAACATTCCCTGGTGCTGCGAGCTCACATCCCCTTTTACATGATCCATGTTGCTCTCTCCTGAGCCCCGTATTACCCCTCTCCCAGATTCCTTGTCTCCCAGTCCCACTCCCTTATCCCTGTCTCACATGGTTTGCAATGGCCTATCTATTCTGAAGATCCAGCGGTAGCTGTAGAGGGGCTGAGGCTGGGATCACAGTGAGTGTCTCTGATGGCGTGGGGGGGGGGGGGGGGCGCGGTGGGATGGAGGGATAGTACCTGCAGATGTAGCTGAGCAGGTTATAGTTCGCCTGAGGCAGTAACGAAACCTGTTTCATCACTTCCTGTTGCCCCTGTGGAGAAAAAGTCACAATTCAGATGATTTGTCTCTTCTCACTGTCCATTCTGCCCGGCCTGAGAGCAAATATTTGAAAGAGTGATATTTGTTGATTTCTGGTGCAACTTCTGAACCTCTGTTCACCGTCCCAGTCCCCTGTCTATTGCCTGACAATCAGTCCTGATGGGAAACATTGGATCCAGCAGGCCACACCTCTTCCCTTATCCCCATTCCTCTTCCAATGTGATGCTCTTCGATTTTACAAACCTAATCGTGCTTCTCAGGGACTTTGAAATAATGTCGATATAAAACGAAAGATCTGCAGATTCTGGGAAGCTGAAAGAAAAGCAGAAAGTGCTGGAGAGACAGTAGGAACTGCCGATGCTGGAGAATCAGAGCTAACAAGGTGTAGAGCTGGAGGAACACAGCAGGCCAGGCAGCATCGGAGGAGCAGGAAAGCTGATGTTTCGGGTCTGGACCCTTCTTCAGAACCCAGCAGGTCTGGAAGCATCCGCGGAGAGAAAGAGAGAGAGAGAGAAAGCAGAGTTAGCGTTTCGGGGTCCGATGCCCCTTCTCCATAGGCTGCTTACGCCTTCTCTGCTGGACGGTGTCCCTCAAGGTGACCTGGCTGTCATTCAAGTACTGCTTTCTACAGTTGACTGCAGAGAGGCTACTCAGTGTCTAGCCCCATAACTTCCTTCACGTTCCACTGGGTCAGTATAATGAGGCACCCCCTGCTGTGTGATGTCTCATATGTCAGCGTGCCTTTAAAAGCCATGCTTGTGATACTGTCACTGTATCACAACTTTTGACTTGAGGCTAGAAAGATCTCATTCTCCATCTTACCCCAGACCACTTGAAGCATGACACTCGACTGGAAACATGCTCCTCTGTGCTAAACTCAGATGCTTAATGTTAGCCCGGACACTTCTGTGCCTGAGGGATGTCATTGTCTTTCTCCTTACATAATAGTTAGTTGTAATAAATGTCTGTTGGATCCTTCAATACCACAACATCCATGCCCCAATTTCTTGTGTGATGGAGAAGGCATTGTCACATTAGCTAAAACACCCGCACCATTTCCCTGTGCCCACGAGAAGACTCCAGGAGGTACATTTTCTGTGCTGAGGAGGATCCCAAAGCACCATTTCAGTGACAGGTACTGCCAGATGTCCAGTGGGAGGAACATAGAACAATACAGCACAGGAACAGGCCCTTCAGCCCACCATATTGTGCCGAACATGATGCCAAATTAAACTAATCCCTCCTGCCTGTCCTTGGTCCATATCCCTCCATACCTTGCATATCCATGTGCATATCTTAAAGTCCCTTAAATGTCCCTACTGTATCTGTTTCCATCACCATCCCTGGCAGCGTGTTCCAGACTCTCAATACTCTCTGTGTAAAAAACATCTCACATCTCCTTTGAACTTTTCCCCCTCTCACGTTAAATGCATGATCCCCTAGTCTGAGACATTTTGACTCTGGGAAGAAAAATTCCATCAACCCTATTTATGCAAGTCACAACTTGATAGATTTCTATCGAGTCTCCCCTCAGCCTCTGCTGCTCCAGAGAAAACAACCTGAGTTTTTTCAGCCTCTCCTTATGGCTCATACCCTCTAATCCAGGCAGCATCCTGGTAAACCTCTTCTGCACCCTCTCCAAAGCCTCCACACCTTTCCTGTAGCAACCAGAACTGAACGCAATAGTCTAAGTGTGGCCTAACCAAAGTCATATAAAGCTGCAACAATGAACCACAGGAGGGTCCATACTTCTCTCTCCATCAGCCATGGTAAGGTATCAGAGACATCAAATTGTGACTTTCCAGGTCCCGAACACAGTTGAGCCTAGTTCCTCTTTACTCTCAGAATCAGAGCCTGTCATCCCTCTGAAACATGCTGTGACTCCTCCTGTCATCTCAGCTTCTCACTGAACACAAATGGTTTCCTATAGCAGCAAGTCTGTGACCTTCGGTTCAGTTTTGACTGTCACGCAGTGCGTCCGCTGACACTACACTGCACAACACAGAGGTACAGGTCAGGGATTGGAACGTACCTGCTCCTCATCGCTGTTCATGAGCTGGCTACAGGCCAGGAAGTCTTCGTACTGAGACCAGGGGACAACTGGTTCTGGGAGCTCTCTCAGGTACAGCTTAAAGAGTGAGGCTACGGTGTGCACATCAGTGTTCCTGGAAGAGAAAGCCAAGTGTCAGCATCTTAGCTCCCAATGAAGAGATAGTGGGCAGCAGGAAAAGGGAAGGATTCAAAGGAATTCATTCACAAATAATCCCATAGGTGTCATGACTTTTCCCACAGGTGAGTTCAGTAGCCCCCAGCTTCTTGTTTCCAATTACAAAAGGAATTCAAGCCCATATCACCCACATTTCAATTTCAAGTGAATTACTGGATAAAATGACTTGGATTGAATGGGAATGATGTGAATGTTAGTTGACATTAATAACATTAATCCCACCTGATTGACTCCCCCTCCACCACCTTCAAAATTCACTCCCTCCACTACCGATGCTCAGTCGCAGCAGTGTGTACTATCTACAAGATGCCCTGCAGAAATTCACCCAAGATCCTCATACAGCACCTTCCAAACCCACCACTATTTCCATCTAGAAGGACAAGGGCAGCAGATACATGGGAACACCACCCTGTCCAAGTTCCCCTCCAAGTCACTCCCCACCCTGACTTAGAAATATATCGCTGTTCCTCCACTGGGTCAAAATCCTGGAAATCCCTCCCTCAGGACATTGTGGGTCAACCTACAGCACATGGACTGCAGCGGTTCAAGAAGGCAGCTCACCCCCACCTTCTCAAGGGGCAATAAATACTGACCCAGCCAGTGACACCCATGTCCCATGACCCTGATTCAGTCAGGCTTGGGTGTGTGCTTCCTCTCAGGGACAAAGCTAGCCATGCCTGGCCAGTGCCATTTTCTTGAATGAATTTATCACTTTGGTTTGCATTCTGTTTGGGGTGGGGTGGGATGGGAGAATGCTGGAGAAGATGGTGAAATGAAGAATGATGTGATTGCCCTGCCCATAGGCTGAGAATTGTACACAGTGGGGAGAATGCATCGAAAAGGTCTTTAACAATTTGCCTTTGTTTGTGTGCAATGCATTAGGGCGTTGAATAATTCTCTGGATGGAAATAATGTGCAGGGATGTGTGGGAAATCGAACTGATACAATGGGCTGAATGGCCTCTTTCTGTGCCTGTGAAGTCAGGGTTTAAGACCACTCCCCGCTGGGGAAACATGATGTTTCCCTGAAACACTGCACAGTCATTGCACAGAGAGCTAAGGGGCAGTGCGGGCTACACCTAACCTTCGTCAAACGTTGCTGACCGACCACAGCACCACTCAGCAGAACAGTGCAGACGCCAGCTCCTGGTGCTCAGGGTGAGCCAAATACACTCCAGCCAACCCATTCTGCAGCAGATCAGTGCTCAGATGCCCTTTCAACTTACCCTGCAATTCCATCAGATCATCTCCCTGAGCAAGAGCTTGGATTATATAGTTACTGCCGAGGTGTGATGGGAGTCTTTGGAGGAGAATGACCTAGTGGAGCAAGGTAAAGGGCAGGATCTGCCAAACGCCCTCTCTGCCCTCTCCTGTCCTTTGCTGTCCCTGCTCTTTCCATACTTGCTGTTGCTCAAGTCTCACATTTGCCACCAGCTTACCCCACATGCTGTGAGGTTTGTGGGGCAGTGCTGTTGGTGGGGAGAGACAAAGTGAAGATTATCCTGACAGCTACTGTTCATTCCAAGTCTCCTGAGCTCAGTCCGAGCAGGACGCTGCCTGCAAACGTTTCTGTCTTCCTCTGTCTGAGTTTATTCATCGCTCCTGCAGATGACCTGTCTTCCACCAGGTATCCATCTATTGTGAGACCCGAGGCATCATAATTATATGGGACAGATCGAGTGGACCAATAGATCTTTCCCTGTTCATCCTTTTCTTTCTATCCATGGCATCAGGAAACATAGGAACAGGAGGAAGCCATTCAGCCCCTCATGCTGGTTCCACGTTTCAATAAGATCATGGTTGATCTGTGGTCTAACTCCATCTGCCTGCCTTTGGCTCATATCCCTTAACACCTTTGCTGAACAAACATTTCTCTCTCTCAGAATTAAAAATTACAACTGATCCTGCATCCACTGCTGTTTGTGGAAGAGAGTTCCAAACCTCTATCACCCTTTGAGTATAGGAATGCTTCCTAACATCTCCCCTGAATACTCTGGCCCTAATTCTCAGACTACGCCCCCTAGTACAAGAATCCCAAACCAGCGGAAATAGTTTATCTTTATCTCTCCTGTCTTTTCCAGTTAATATATTGGAGACTTTGATCAGGTCACCCTTTAATCTTCGAAATTCTAGAGAAGGACACAGTTCCCAGACCTGCTCCCAGTACTCCAAGTGGGGTCTAACCATGATGAGATGTGACGTCTGCTTCCTTGTACTCTAATCCTCTCGATATAAAGGCCAGTATTCCATTAGCCGTCTCGATTACGTTCTGCACCTCTTCGTGGCGTTTTAACGATCTGTGCATCTGAACCCCAAGTCTCTTTGGACATCCTCTGTATTTAACTCCACCTAGAAAGTACTATGATCTATCCTTTCTCAGTGCAAAATGCTTGCTTCTATCGAAATCTATCCTCCACAGTTTTTGCCCATTCACTGAGACCATCAAACTCACTTTGGAATTTTATCTACACTATCTACAATGCCTCCTAACTCTGTGTCATCAGCAAATCTGGATTTTATGGTTTTCGATGCCACTATCCAAGTTATTACCGAAGAATGTGAATAATTGAGATCCTAACACAGATCCCTGTGGGAAACCGACGGTCAACATGTTGCCAGTTTGACCGCTTCCCCATTCTCCCCACTTCCTATCGCCTGCCACTCAACTAATTCCCAGCCAGGTTCAGTAATGCTCCCTCGATTCTGTGAGCTTCTACTTCAGTTAGCGGTCTCTTCAGTGAGACCTCTGGGTGAATTGAGAAGAATGACATGCTGATGTTGGGTTGAATTGAGGCATTTAAGAGGGCCATCAAGTTGCCATTGGACAGTAATGGCGTGCAGGCATTTGGGAATCTGGAAGGAAACTGGCACGAGATAACAGAGCCAGTGCGGTCACAATGGACAAAGTGGCTTCCTCCTGGACTGGTTTGGTTCTGTGATTCCCCAGTAAAAGTGCACTCCATTCCTTCCAAAGTGAGTGTTTTGGAAAAGTGTGGAGAGTTCAGAGAAGGGCCTGTGCAGCGTGTGTGTGGAGCCCTCTACAAATACAGGAGGTACCTTTGCCGAAGGACTCAGCCTGCGATCCAGACGGAAGGTGTCACCGAGTAACGAAAGCGGTGACGTTGACAGTGTTTTATGTCGTGATAACGGGAACAGAAACACATCTCTCTCCAAGGTCATGTTGGTTGCGTGATGGCATCAGAGCCATTAACCAGACGGTTGGTTTGAGTTTGAGGACATGGAGTGGGTGCCAATGCTGTGGCTTGAAGAGGTATGTTTTGTCCTGGTTTATTTCAGAGGGAGAGATATCAGGGAACAGGTACTGAGCAGTCTACGAGAAGATAAACAACTTGGGAGGCCTTGAGTTTCTGTTTAACAAGTTGGAAGAATAGAAGCAGCCCGAGTGAGCATTTGAAAATATTAATCTGCCTACCTGTCAAAAGACGGCCTCTCCCCACAGTCGAAAGCATCTCTCAGTTCTTTGACTTGGTTGTCTTGTCCTGGAAGACGGAAGATACCTTCTTCATTCAGCCCGTAGTTCCGAATGAAGTCAGCACACTGCTCCACCACCATGGGCACCAGGTGCTGGCCAAACTTCTGCTCATATGCCACCGTGTCTGCCAGGCGTTGACCGAAGACAGCTGAAGGAAGAGGAAGTGCTCGAGTCAAGATGGTGGTGGGAACTGCACATTTCCTGGGGCTTATGCTCCGAGGTCGCTGTTATGCAACTTGGCCCCTTTCAGGTTCATCCAAACGTTCAAACCCTGGAGCACGAAAGGATCATACCAGCTCTCTGAAAGAGCCATTGTGCTTCTCTCATCATCCTCAAGGACCTGCTCACCCCTCCAATCCAATTATCAATAGGATCTATTTCCATCCCAATTCTCAGGGAGAGCATCCCAGATCCCGGTAAGATTGATGTGGGTACATTCTCCTCATTACTGAGCTAGGGCTTCACTCATGATACGGAAACAATAGACCCAGACCCAGCATTGAATGGTGTGTGACTGTCTGACGTCATGGATAGACCCAGATTGGATCCCATTGCACAAACTTAAGTTGAGGACATGTAGGCTCCAAACAGTCAGACTCAACTCACCGAGCATTATCCCCTCCTATGTCTATCTGTCTATCTCAGCCTTGGATAGATTTAATGACCCAGCCTCAACAGGCTGTCTGAATTCATTCCCCTCCGAGAGAAGAAATTCTTCCATATCTCTGTCTGACATGGGTGACCCTTTTCTCTGAGATTACACCCTCTGGTCCCAGACCCTCCCCCACAGGGAAATACCCTCCCTGCATCTCCCCTGTCAATCCCTCCCTCAGAATCTTCTGTTTCAATAAGGTCACCTCTCATTCCTCTAAACCCCAGTGAGTACAGGCCCAACCTACTCAACCCCTCCTCTTAAGGCAGTCCGTCCATCCTCGGGACCAGCTGAGTGAACCTCCTCTGGGCTGCCTCCAATACCAGCCTATCTTTCCTTCGATAAGGAGCTCAAAAAATATTCACAGGATCCCAGCTGGGGTCTGACTAGTTCCTTGGTCAGTTATAGCAACACCTTCCTGTTTCAATCCTCCAATCCAGAGCAGACCAGTTGCAATTGGATCTCGTGGAGCCCCTTGCCAGCTGGTGATCAACTTCAGAATATTGGCACATTCCTGGAAGAAAGGGGTGGCATAGTGGCTCAGTGGCTCAGTGGTTAGCAGTGCTGCCTCACAGCACCAGGGACCCAGGTTCGACTCCACCCTCAGGCGACTGTCTGTGTGGAGTTTGCACATTCTCCCCGTGTCTGCCCGGGTTTCCTCCGGGTGCTCCAGTTTCCTCCCACTGTCCAAAGATGTGCAGGCTAGGGTGGAACGGCCACGGGAAGTGCAGGGATAGTGTGTTGGTTGAGTCTGGGTGGGATGCTCTTTGGAGGGTTGGTGTGGACTTGTCAGGCCAAATGGCCTGTTTCCACACTGTAGGGATTCTATTCTGTTCATTTTGCACTCTCCGAGTCCTACAAGGGTGGCAAGGCAGTGTGGGGAGCTGGGAGGCCAGGATGGCACTGGCAGTGAGGAGTTATCATGTACTTGTGTGATGCTGATTGAGGGCTGGGGAGACTGCATTGCTGGGCTTTGCAGGAAAGAGCCCCTCAGCTTACCATCCAGGATGACGGGCATGGGGCACCAACAGCATTGTGGTCATGTCAATGGCCTAGGAATCCAGGTTCGTGATCTGGGGACATGCCTTTGCATCCCACCCTGGCCAGATGGGGAAAATCAAATTCAATTTTTAGAAAACAAATCTGGAGAGCTGGACCCAGTGGTGACAAAAACATTGTCATTAAAAACCCAGTCTGGTTCCTTGAAGGAAGGAAATCTTCCATCCTCATCCAATCTGGGTCTACACGTGACTCCAGTCCCACAATGGTGTGGTTGACACCCAAGTGGTCCCTGGGCCATGAGTGATGGTTTATAAATGGCACTCTAGCCAGTGATCCCAACAGCCCATGAATGAACAGACCCAGAGGCCATCCCTCTGCGTGAGCCTACATGCATTCACTTCCTAACACTGGTGCGAAACACTGAGGAGCAGCTGGATACAGCAGTGACAAGGATAGATGCGAGACAAATGCCGGAGTATAGTCTGGTTACCTCCACTGGACAGCGTTCCCATTGCCCGGCGAATCACCTTCACCCAATCTTCCATTTCGCTCTGTGAATTGGCCATCAGCATGTGGGACTCCTGAGCACTTCCTGTCCTCTCCCGGTCACCATAGCCCACTGTGAGACACCAAACAAGAAAAATGTCAGCAAACAGCAGGGTTTTCAATCCATCGGCACTGAACCTCCAACCAATTTGAGATCGGCAGCCCAACTCCGAATCCACCTCTATAGTCACAATTGCTCAACACCAACTCACGTCACCATGGGCGTCTGGCAGTCTGAAGTCAGATATGTCATCAGAGATTCCTCTCAACAGCGGATATAAATAACAGAGGCTGTGGAGGTGGCTAAGGTGATATCAAGTGGCTTCTTGAGAGTGGGGAATGTGCTACATCAGTACGATCAGCAGAGGAACAATGATGCAACTGTATCGCATACATCAGGCATAGTCTCTGGTCATACCGAGGAGCTTTCTTACTGCAATTATACAGGGCTTTGGTGTGACCGCACCTGGAATACTGTGTGGAGGTTTGGACTACTTATCTGGGGGAGGGATGTTCTTGCTATAGAGGGAGTGCAGCGAAGGTTTACCAAATTGATTCCTGGGACAGTAGAACTATCATCTGAGGAGAGATTGAGTTGGTTAAGACTGTGTTTGCTGGAGTTCAGAAGGAAGAGGGGGCTCTCAAAGAAAGCTATAAGGTAGTAAGAACGACAGTGAGGGTAAACACAGGAAGGATGTTTCCGAAGGGCTGGGGGAGCCCAGAATCAGGCGTCATCGTTTGAGGGTAAGGGGTAAATCTTTTAGACTGAGATGGTGAGAAATGCCTTCACTCCGAGAATGGGGAGCCTGTGGAATTCACTGCCACAGAAAACAGTTGAGGCCAAGACATTGTGTTTTCAAGAAGGACGTAGATAAAACTCTTGTAGCTGAAAGGGATCATGGGATATGGGGGGAGGGCAGGATGAGTGTATTCAGATCGATGATCAGGTTAGGATTATATTGAATGGCAGAACGCACTTGAGGGGCCAAATGGCCTACTTCTGTTCCTCTAAGACCATAAGATAATAAAATATAGGCCAGAATGAGGCCATTCAGCCCATTGAGTCTGCTCTCTCATTCAATCATGGCTGATCTGTTTCAAAACCTCATTCTCTTGTCTGCTCCCTGCAAACCTTGATCCCCTTACCAGTCAAGAATGTATCTACCTCTGTCTTAAATACACTCAATAATTTGGCCTCCACGTCCTTCTGCAGCATGAGTTCCACTGATACACCATCCTCTGGTTGAAGAAATTCCTCCTCATCTCAGTTCTAAAGGGTCATCGCTTTACTCTGAGGCTGTGCACTCGGGTCTGAGTCTCTCCCACTAGCGGAAACATCTTCTCCATGTCCACTCAACCAGGCCTCTCAGTATTCCGTAATGAGATTCCCCCTCATTCTTCTCAATTCCAATGAGTACAGACCCAGAATCTTCAACCACGCCTCACATGACAAGCCCTTCATCCTCGGGATCTTTGTTGTAAACCTCCTCTGGACACACTCCAACACCAGCACATCCTTCCTTAGACACTGGACCCAAAACTGCTCACAATATTCCAAACATGGTCTGACCAGGGCCTTATACAGCCTCAGCACTACATCCCCGCTTTTGGATTCTAGCCCTCTTGAGATGAATGTTAACATTACATTTGCTTTCCTAACCGCCAAATGAACCTGCATGTTAATCTTAAGAGAATCCTGAACTAGGACCCCCAAGTACCTGTGTGCTTCAGACTTCCAAATCCTTTCCCTATTTAGAAAATAGCCTATTCCTCTATACTTCCTGCCAAACTGCTTAGCCTCACACTTTCCCACAATGTATTCCCTCTGCCACTTCTTTGCCCACTCTCCGAGCCTGTCCAAGTCCTTCTGCAACCTCCTGGCTTCCTCAACACAACCCTCCCTCAACCTATCTTAGTATCATCCGCAAACTTAGCGACAATGCCCTCAGTTCCTTCGTCCAGATCATTAATGTATTACGTGAACAGTTGTGGTCCCTACACTGACCCCTGTGGAACTCCACTCGCCACCAGCTGCCATCCTGAAAAACACCACTTTATCCCCACTCCCTGGCTTCTGTTAGTCATCCAATCCTCTGTCTGTGCCAGTACATTGCCCCTAACAACATGGGCCCTTATCTTATTTAGTGGCCTCCTGTGTGGCACCTTGTCAAAGGCCTTCTGGAAATCCAAATCAATCACGTCCACTGGCTCCCCTTTGTCTAACTTACTCATCAGCTTCTCAAAGAATTCTAACAGATTGGTCAGGCATGACCTCCCTTTGATAAAGCCATGCTGACTCAGCCCTGTTTTACCATGCACTGCCATGTATTCCGCAATCTCATCCTTAATAAACCTTCCCAACGACCAGGATCAGGCTAACAGGCCGATAATTTTCTGTCTTCTGCCTCCCTCCCTTTCGAAACAGGTATATTACATTAGCCATTTTGCACTCGTCTGGGACTCTCCCTGACTCCAGTGATTCCTGACAGATCACCACTCACACATCCACAATCTCCTTCAGAACTCTGGGCCTCAGTCCATCTGTTCTGGGATATTTATCCACCCACTGATCTTTCAGCTTCCCTCGCACCTTCTCAGTGATGGCTAGTACACTCACCTCTGCTCCCTGACTCTCTCGAGGTTCTGGTATGTTGCTGGTGTCTTCCACCATGAAGGCTGATGCAAAGTTTCTATTCAGTTCATCTGCTATTTCTGTGTTCCCCTTTACTACTTCTTCTAGCATCATTTTCCCACGGTCCAATGTCCACTCTCATCTCTCTCATGTCTAAAAAAATTCTTCTTTTATATTACTAGCTAACCTACCCTCATATTTCATCTTCTTCTGCTTCTTGCTTTTTAATTATCTTCTGCTGGTTTTTCAAAGCTTCTCAATTCTCTACCTCCCACTAATCTTCACCACATTATGTGCTGTTTCTGTTGCTTTTAATGCTGTCCCTGACTTCTCTTGTCAGCCCATGGTTGCCTCACCCTCCCCTGTGTATGTTTCTTCCTCCATGCTCTGCCTCCCGAATTATCCCCAGAAACGCCTGCCTGTGCTGCTCTATCAGCTTCCCTGCAGGGCTGCCCTTCCAATCAACTCTGACCAGCTTCTCCCTCACCTTTACTCGATTGTAATCCTGTTACACATGATTCCAGCCTCTCCCTCTCAAACTGCGCGGTGAATTCTGTCATCTTATGGTCACTGCCCCTGAGGGATTCCTTCACCTTAAGCTCCCTACTCAAGTCTGTCTCATTACGCATCACCAAATCCAGAACTACTCTGTTCCCTAGTGGGCTATTCCACAAAAAAAAACCAAGTCATAGACATTCCACAGTTTCCTTTTTCTGAGATCTGCTTCCGACCTGATTTTCCCAGTCCACCTGCATGTCGAAGTCCCCCGTGATTACTCTAACACTGCCTTTCTTACATTGCCTTTTCTATCTCCTGATTTATTTTCTTCTCCACCTCCTGTTTACTGCTAGGAGGCCTGTACACAACTCCCATCAGGGTCTTTTTTCCTTCACATTTCCTTAACTCTGCTCCCATGTCTTCTGGCTCTATCACTTGCTGCCGATTTAATTTCATTTCTTACAACAAGGCAACCCCACCTTGTCTTCCCATCGAAAGGACATGTATCCTTGGATATTTAGTTCCCAGCCCTGATCCTCTTCCAGCCATATCTCTGATACTCCACAACATCGTACCTGGCAATTTCAAACTGTGTCACCATTGTTTCATATGCTGCATGCATTTTAGTGCAACACATCGCTTGATGTTTTTATGTTTCAACCTCAGGCAAGCATACAAGCTCCCAGCTGGTAGAAAGCTGATGCCACCCTCTCAGATGGTAAAGGAAGGAGCCTGTGTGTTTCTGTGTTAACAAGTCTCATGTCTTGTGCAGTGATGTTTATGCCCTCAAGTCAGGCCAAGGACCTGTTCAGGAAAGGGCTTGGCAGGGTCTGATGTACAGCTGGAAACGGCCATGGATGCTCAGGGGTCATGGAGACAGTGTGGGCAGACCAGTGTTGAAAGAGCAAAGGACACGATCTGTACGCAGGGCTGGAGACTGTGGGCGTCGAGGTGGAGACGTGAAGGCTGTGGAGAAGTTATCTGAGGAGCTGGAGACCACGGTGCTGGGGCTGGATTGAGAACGGGGGTTGGGGAAGAGGGACAGAGAGAGGCGATGTGGAAGGGCGGTTTCTCACCTTTGCGAACACGACAGGTAACACCACAAATCGACCGATGACCTGAACATTGGCCAATGCAACAAGCCAAACCTTCCCCTCTCCCCTGGATTTGCCAACTCGCTATTCATTCCTGAATGCAGGGGTCCTTCATCCTGGGAGGTTTCTGACCTGGGCTTGTGGCTGGGCAGTTCCAGAACACCTACTGTGGGCCCCAGCTGACCCTAAACCTCTCCACCTCCACTCTCGAGTCACCCTGAATGCTGCTGCCCTCTCCTGGCCAGCCCAGCATTCCATCCTACTCCAAGGACAAGCAGGAATTCCATTGAACTGTGCCCAGGCATAGCTCAGTTACCACAGTACTGGCATACTGCTGCGGGTAATAAAGAACTGTACAGCGCAGGAACAGGCCCTTCAGTCCACCATGCCTGTGCTGACACATGTTGCCTTTCTAAACTAAAACCTTTTGCCTTACGCAGTATGTAGCCCTCTATTCCCCTGCCTATTCATATATCTATCAGCAAACCCCTTAAACGTTGTTATTGTACCTGCTTCCACCATCTCCTCTGGCAGCTTATTCCAAAAATTTGTGTTAAAAAAAACCCTGCCATTTATAGCTCCTTTAAACTTACCGCATTTTACCTTAAACCTATTTCCCTGACTAATTGACATTTCTATCCTGGGAAAAAGACTATCTGACTATCGATTCTATCCATGCATCTCATAATTTTGTAAACTCCAAGCAGGTCACCCCTCAGCCTTCAATGTTCAAGTGGAAACAAATTAGGTTTGTCCAGTCTCTGCTCACAACTCATACTCTCCAAACCAGGCAACATCCTGGTAAACCATTTGTGTACCCTCTCCAAAGCCTCTACATCCAGTGAGGTGACCAGAACTGCTAAACTAAAGCTCTACTGCAGCTGCAAGGATTGTTACTGAGGAAAATCTGAACCTTGTGATCTCTCCTAACCAGCCATCCCACAATGTCCCAGTGATGGACAAGCTCCGAATTTGTTCCGAATTGAAGCAGCCAACGTCATTGAAGCCAGTGGTTTTAGAGCTGGCTGAACAGCTGACTGAAAGATGTGCAATTCGCTGAGCTGGGTTCCCTCCTCCCTCTGCTCCTCCACCCTCTACCCAGTTCTGAAGCTGCAGGAACGTGGGAGCACGGGAACGGAGGTAGGCCATTCAGCCCCCTCAAGCCTGTTGCACCATTCGATGAGATCATGATCTGGTTCTTGTTCCTGGTTGGAAAGTTCACGTGTCCCGTGGGGAAGTTAAATTCTCGGACAAGGTGACAGGCTGAAGTGTGGCTTACCTTGCCTGGGGAGTGGAGAACATGAGCTCGCAGTCTCAGGACAGAATGCTCGTTACATTGTCAAGGAGAGACAGTGGGAGAGGGGCTCTTGTGGCACAGGGGCAGTGTCCCACCCTCTGGGTTTGAAAGCCCAGCGTGCAAGTCTGACCTGCTCCTGCGGTGTGTGACACATAGCTGGACAGGTCGCTTGAAAAATACACCTGAACAGGAGGAAGCTGTTGATCGATGAAGTACCTTGAGTACATGCAGAGCTGGACTGCTGAGCTCCACACTTTCACAAGTCACAACTTATTTTCATTCTCAAATTTGTCTTTGCACTTCAGTGTGCAGCAGAGGGCTGGGGAGGGGTTGTGCCGTAGATTGGTGGGAGTGCTGGGCAGATGAAATCTCCTTCTGGGTCTATCCTGGGATCTGGAAATCGGACCCAGTGGCCCACCATTCTTCCAGTGGGCACCACAGGAGCTGGAGTGAACCATCTCTCTCCAACACAGCATCCCACCTGTAAACAGTTCAGTTTCCTTTCAAGTTTAGTTGACAATACCCCCTTTAATGGCAGTTCTTTCATGAAACAGTTGATGAATTCGCTTGATTGACAGGCGTATAAAAAGGGACTGCTCCTTTAAGAAGATAATCCTTTGATGATAAGTTTGTTTGATTTATTGGTACTCAAATTTGCATAAAAAGGGTCAGCTGGGCCATTGCTTGTCTTTGGAAGGTTGGGGAAGGATGTATTTTTGTTGTGTATTGGCTAACTGGCTGTGATCAGGGCAAAGGGATAGATGGCTATGCTCCTCCACTTCACTGTGGAGCTGGGATCTGTGGACCAAAGGGTCAGCCATTGACAATGGAGTGCAGGGTTATGTCTGCACTTGGGAGGATTGTGAACCTGGGGAATTGTTTACCCTAGAGAGCAATGAAGGCTCAGTTATTGTGTATGTTCATGACAGAAACAGATGCTGGATGAGGGGGTTATGGAGAATGGCTTGGTCCTGTGGAGTTGATATGGAACACTACAGCAGCAGTGATATTGAACAGGGTAGCAGACGCCAAGTGTGAGCTTCCCCTGTATGTGTGACTTTAATTCTTGCAGTCACCAAGGATTGATCCTGAGGGAGGTTTTCCTGGGATCTCTTCCCTGCATGCTGCACACAGAAAGAGGATGAAACAGCAGACCTTATTGGTCTGTGGGAATCCTGGCTGATCACCCAGAGCTGTGGTTACACTGAAACCCCTCTCACTCACTCTCTCACACAGAGACACGCACTGTGCCTGCTCAGGAAGGTGGTTGTCCCCATCAACCTTTCCAGGGTTGTGAGGGGTAGACCATAAAGTGCACCCTCCCTGGTCTCACTCCCACCCTGGGGTTAGGTGCCAGCCTTGCTTTGCAGTTTGCCCACTCAGAGGGCACAGTCACCCATTTCGGGTAAAGGCCCTGAGCTTTCTCATCTTCCATTGGAGTGTGGGATCTCCCTTGATTTCCAGCACGGGGAACTGGGTCGGGATTAAACAGTGTAGGCTGGAATGTGAACAAACTCCCTGTTTGAATCACAGTGATGTTGGGAAAGGAACGTTGCTGTGAGTGAGATGCACCTTTGCTCATGGCTTGGAGTGGCAGTGCAGTTCAAGGCTGTTTCTCTCTTTCTCTCTCTCTCTCTCTCTTTCTCTTCCCGCTCCCCCCCACCCCACCCTCCACCCACCAGCTCCCCTGCTCACCAGGAGGCTGCTGGCACTTCACAAAAACTACTCTTCCCCTGAGACCACATCCTGTGCAAACTCGGAGCACAGTTTGTGGCTGTTGGGCTGTGTCGGAGGGAGACTGTGATGTCTGTGTTTCCCCACCTACGCAGCCAGGCTTGAAGGTTTGGAAATGAATGTATCCTCCTTTCCCCTCAGCCCAGGTGTCTGTGTGTGAAAACTGCCACAGTTCTGTGTGCCAGTGGCCTAGTGTGATACTGAGTGACTGTGTAAAGCAGCAGGTAGAGCTGTAAATCCATGAAGTGGGCTGGACATTGTGCCTTGTTCCTCTCACTTTCCAGGTGGAAAACCCAAGGGGAGCGTCAGCGATTCCAGGCTGGTGTCTCCGGGATCTGAAATATATCCGGCTCTGTCCACAGCCTCCACATGGCTGGGTCAAATCCTCTGAACTGTCCTGGAGGCTGTGGGTCAACCCCACATACTGGGGGAAGGGGCCGTTGGTTCACTTCAGTTTATCTCATGCTGGCTACTGCCTTGTGTGACAGTAGCTTTTGCAGAATCACAGCAAGGCCTCATTTTGATAGTCATTGAGTCACAGAGTGCAGAAACAGGTCCCTCGGTCCAACCAGTCCATGCTGACTATTACTCCAAACTAAACTAATCTCCACCTGCCTGCTCCTGTCCCATATCCTATTCATGTACTTGGCTAAATGTCTCTTAAACATTGTAACTGTATCCACATCTACCACTTCCTCAGGAAGTTCATCCCACATGTGAGCCACCCTCTGCTTTAAAAAAAATCGTCCCCTCATGTTTTTTTTTAATCTCTCTCCGCTCGTTAAAAAATGGGCCCCCCAGCCTTGAAATCCTCCATCCTAGGGAAAAGACATCTGCCATTCACCGTATCCATGCCCCTCATTATTTTAAAAACTTGCACATGGTCACCTCTCAACCTCTTCTACTCCAGTGGAAAAAAAAGTCCCAGTCTCTCCTTATAACTCAAACTATTGAGCAAAGCCCACAGACTATGACACTCCTTTCTTCCCCTGGTGTGTTACAGTTCTAGTATTTTTTTTTAAGGAAGGCCTTAGAGGAGAGCAGAGAGAGAGAGAGATGGAGAGTTTCAGGTCAGGGTATCCAGAGCTGGGAGCCCAGGGGTCAGCATCAGCGGCTGAGAAGTGAATAGGCAGCAGGAGTGGTCCCATCTCCAAGGGCCAAGATGTAATCGGGAGGAGCAAGGCCACAATGGGACCGGTGCTGAACCTAGCCTTCACTAAGAGGGGTTGATGGCTCAGTGAGATACCACCTTGTGAGTCTGCTCCTGGGTTTTGAATATATCCAGACAATGGGCAGCAGAGGGGGTATATTAGACCTGCCTGCTTGTCCCTCCTCTGTGGCTGGCCTCCCCTGCCTCTCCCCAGCCCAGGGATGTTCCTTGGAGATAACTTGGCTCCCTGTCCAAGATCCCAAGTGGGAGAGTGAGTTGGGAGCCACATTGACCTGGCGTGGATGAATGAAATGCTGATGCCTTGGTACTTAGGGATTTCTGGCAGAGAGAGGCATACCTGGAACGATTTCAAAGAGGAATTTTCCTGGTTCATCAGGGTTGGGTGGTAGTTCATTGACCTTGCAGTCCTGGAGGACAATGTGACCCTGTAAATGAGACAATTTAGTGAGCACGTCACCCAGTCCCTGCTTAAAAATAACAAGAGCCCGCATCCATAAAAAAACACTCTGATCTTGAAAAAAGACTAAAATGGTCCCAAAGTGATGGACAGAGTCACAACAGTTCCCCAACCTGGTCAACGACACTGGCCTTGGGGAAAGGCTACGCATTGGCAAAATTACATTGTGTCTGCAGTTTGACATAACATTGGTCGGCTGCCAAGAATTATTTTTCCAATTCAACAGTAGGAAGATGTGATGAGCGAAATTGCCAGCTAGAATGTCCCTTACCTTCTTAGCTCACACCCCCACCTCCAGCCCTCCTCCTCAGGAACATTGAGAACAGAGGTCTGGGAGGATTATTCACCTCGAATGTTATATGCACTTTTGGTCTCCTGACCTGAGTAAGCATGTTCAGGTTATGTAGGGAGTGCAGTGAAGGTTTACCAGACGGATTCCTGGGATGGCATGACCTATGGGGCTGATGTATGGAGCGGTTAGGACTATATTCACTGGAGTTTAGAAGAATGAGGAGGGATTTCATAGAAACCTATTAAATTCTAACAGGACTCAACAGGATAAACTCAGGAAGGACAGATGCCGATGACCAGGGAGTCCAGAGACAGGGGTCACAGTCTAAGGACATAGGGTAGACCGTTCAGGGCTGAGAAGGTAAGAAACGTCTTCACTCAGAGTGTCGGGAGACCGTGGAATTCACTATCACAGAAAGTAGCTGAGGTCAAAACATTTCACTAAGGAATCAGATGTAGTTCCTTGGAAGAAAGGGATGAAATGATTTGGGGAGGTGGGAACAGGATCCTGTATTGATGATCAGCCATGACCATCCTGAATGGCAGAGCAGACTCGAAGGGCTGAATGGCCTATTCCTGTTGTATACATGAAAGATGGGAAGTCACTTTGACGGTGCGTCAGGTGACCTCCCAAGGGGAACTCTCTGGTCAGCAAACTACATCGTTGGTTGTTAGAGTTCATTTCGACATCCGCCTTTCAACCACTTCCCTCACCCTGATAAAAAGTGCGACTGTAGCATTCCCACCTCCCTGCTGGGGACGCTGAGTGCTGTTCAGCTGAATGCTACAGCTACATTATTCCCAATTCACCCTCTCACAAAATCCGTCATCCTCTGCCTGGAGATGCTGTAAATGCTGAACTCCCTTTCCAAAGGCACTAGGCAGTGATTGCCATGTCCAATTGTTTGTTGCTGTTATTCTCTCTCTGCATGCCTGCTAGCTGTGCTCCACTCACTGTATGCATTCTGTTCAGCTGGGCTGCAGAAACCGACCAACTGGAAGTGAACCGAGTGCAGGACTTTGACAAGCACTGTCAGTAACGCTGGACAACTCCTCCTCCCATTCCCAGTACGTCCCCACAGCTACATGGCAACCTTCCCCTGCAACCACACAAGGTCTAATAACTCCTCATTTACCCCCTCTCTCGTCGCTGTCCAAGGCATCAGGCGCACCTTCCAAGTGAAGCAGCACTTTACCTACACTTGGCTCAGTCTAGCCTCAGTGTATTTGCTGCTCGCTATGTGGTTTCCTCTACACTGCTGGAGACAGCATGCAGTCTGGGCAACCGCTTTGCAGAGCACCTACGTTCTGTCCGCAGAAATGACCCTGACACTTCAACACTGGCCAACATCTCTGCCTCAGACTTGCTGCAGTGCTCCAGCGAAACTCAGCCAAGCTGGAAGAACAGCACCTCATTTTCGGCTTGGGAGCTTTACAACCTTCTGGACTCAATATCGAGATCAATAAATTGAGAGTTTGATTCCCTCCTCCTATGTTTACTTTACCCACCCCAAAACCCAGTCTTGTTATGACATACGTTGAGTTTTACTCAGTTGATGCATTTTCACCCACTCTCAGCCTGCGAACACATTTGATGGTTTGCTTTCAGAACAGACTACCCGTTATCTGTAATTCTCAGCTCTCATCCTCACTTATTCAGCTTCTCTTCTGTCCTGATCCTCCATCAATAATCACTCATTAACTCCCCTTTTCCCATCTCTGTCTTACTGAGCTCCACCTCCACCTATCCACTCAACATTCCCTTCTTCCCCAACCTCACCTTCAGCATAAGAGCCACATTTTCCTAACTGCTCTTAGCTCTGACGAAAAATCTATGGACTTAAAACATTAACTCTGCTTTCTTCCCACAGATGCTGTGTGACAATACTATGGCTTTTAGAGGTGTATTTTTGTCCTGGTTTTTCTTTTGAGGAGAGGTTTCAGACAGAGGTGATGAGCTATCAATTTGAATCCAATAAAGTAAACAGCTTGTGAGGCCTTGGTTTTTTTTTAAACAAGTTGGAACAATAGAAGCAGCCTGAATGGGTGGGGTCAATCTCCCACCGAACCAGGATTTTTAGTTTTAGTTTTTCAGTAGCAGTTGTTGCTGGGATCTTGAAGTTATATGTGGAAGCTGCAGTACATCTTTCCCTGCTACTCTCTCTCTGAGTTTTCTCTTCTTGCTTTTCCTCCGAGACTGGAGAATTGCATGTGAGACAATCTATTTTACTGAATTTGCCTTTGCCAAGGGTGTGTTTATGGGATGTTACTATATTGTAACAGGTACTGTTTGTAAGTAATAGTACTTATACTTTTAAATAACCTATTATTCTATTAAGTTTTCCAATA